CCTGTCCCCAAATCACAGAACCAGGTGTCCCGGATCTGCTGTAGGCTGCCTGGGTTGGGGCAAAGGTCAAACCCCAGGCTTGGGAATGTGGTCATCTTTTATTCTAGTGGGGCCTGCCTGCTGCAGCCCCCAAATGACAGGTACAGATATCCTGGGAAAATCATAGTAAAAAGAATACAACTTCCAGAAGAAAAGGGGAAAAAATTGTACTAAAAACTGGAAAGAGTTATAGCAGTTGAGTTTGCAGTCTAGCTATGTAAACACAGGTGCATGATTTGATAATCATCAGTTAGCAGACAGTTTTTTCTAACACTAAATTCCAAGCAGAATTGATTGCTTGGGCTCTTATATGGAGAATGTAGACTGAGGTAACAGATGACTAGTTTCAAAGCATTTATGGGGAGGCAGAAACACTGGTAGTGAGTTTCAGTGGCCTTCATTCTCCTCACTTGCCTGTCCTGCCTGCCTCATCTTAGAGGTACCTTTTCCTGTCATCTGAACAGTCACCTTTACTGACTTGTGAACCCTCCACAGTTCTGTTTCACCAAACAAAGTGGCAGTGAGGTTTGTGTTCCTTGAGTGCAGCAGATCAGTAGTCAGGGCCCTCATCCTCTAGGTCAGTGGCAAACCTATGGCACATGTGCCACAGCCAGCTATTTGTATCATTGAGAGCTCTAAAAGGTTCACCATCACTGCTTTAGGTTCTCATCCTGGCTGTTTGGGTCCTTGGCCAAGTCGCCCTCTACGGGCTTTAATTTCCCCATGTTTACAGTGAGATGTTGAATTAGATGTAGACAGAAGTAGTAGTTTTCCTATACTGAGAGCATTGTAGATTTCAGGTTTGTCACGTATTATCTCTAATCTGTGAAGTCATCTGACAGAGTACAGGCATTATATTTCCGGTCTTATAGTGAAACCAAAACACCTTATGCCAAGGTGCCAGGGATTGAACCTGGCTGTCTGGCTCCATAGCCTGACCCCTTTCCTGTATAATCCACTGTGCAGGCCCCTCCTGGAGTCTGTGAAGTCACCCCACACTGACAGAGTCCCTGCCTGTGAGAGATGCTGTTCTCGGCAGAGACTGTAGAGACAACAGAGTCCCTACTTTTACCAGGACCTCCAGTGGGAAGCAGTGTACAGTGACACTGAGTGTTCCTCTTGTCCACAGCTGGGCAAGTCTGTGGTGGCCAAAGTGAAAATTCCAGAAGGCACTGTTCTAACACTGGACATGCTCACTGTGAAGGTCAGTGAGCCTAAAGGCTATCCTCCTGAAGACATCTTTAATCTAGTGGGCAAGAAGATCCTGGTCACTGTTGAAGAAGATGACACCATCTTAGAAGAATTAGTAGAAAATCACGGCAAAAAAATCAAGTCTTAAAATAAAGTGCCATTCTCTCAATCTCAGTCATCTTGCTGGTACTGTCTGATGTGTTGGGTCAGGTGGGATGGGAGTGGGCAGTTGCTGGGTACCTGGCTTTCACCCACTGTACCTCTGCACACAGCAGCCAGTTCAGGGTCAGGCCTGTGTCCAGTCCATTGGAAAGGAAAAGAGCACATGAAGCAGTCTCTGCTTCCAGTTGGCCGGCCCAGAGTGGAGGGGTACTCAAAGGCCAGTCTTTGTCCCGCAGCTTCTGTGTGGCCACAGAAGGGGTGAGAGCTGGCTGTGTGCATCCTCTCCTTGGAGCCTTTGTTCTCACTCTGCAAAGCCAAACCCGTGAATGACCCGTGGTCTCACTTCCTCACACCTCTAGCTGTCTCTCCTCTACTTTCCCTACCTCCCTGCCCTTGGCTGTGTGTCCAGCAGTGTGGCATAGTGGTCAGTCGGCATTACAGAAAGGATTGGTTAGAAGATCTTGTGGGTAGAGGAATACTGAAAGAACTTCTGTCCCAGAGCAGATGAGACTGGCATGACTCCATCAAATTCTGAGGCCTACTGTGTGAGCACCACACTAAGGAGTAGGACACAGGCCAGTCTGTTCCTCAGAGAAGTGCCCCTCAGTCAGGGTAGGGGTACAGCAAACTGCAGAGTGGTGAGCTAGTTAGCACTGTTAGAAGATGGTATGTGCAATAGGGGGGAAACAGATCAGTGTAAAGGGTATGGGCAGTGTGGGGCTCGAAGCCTGCAGATGTACATCAGAATGTTGCTGAAATCAACCCTTCCATAAGCAACAGAACATGAAATCACATAAAATTACAAACCCAGCTAACAAAATTCAGTGTTTTAGTTTCTTGAACAAGCATCGTGTACCTTTTCCAGAGATTCAATGTCATCTCTCCCTTGGTGCTTTTGAATCTATACTAAGACCAATCTTTTTTTTTTTTTTTTTTTTTTTTTGGTACCAGGGATCGAACTAGGGTCTTTCTGCTTGTAAGGCAGGCGGTGGAACCATTGAGCTAAATCCCCAGCCCAGAGACCAATCATTTTTTAAAATGCGTTTTCAGATTCTTTATCTTTGTTTATATTTATTTGACCTTGTTTACTGTGTAACTCTTCTTTGCTCCAAGTATATGGGGCTCTCTTCAAATGAATTAGCCTTCCAAAGTTTCTTTACTTGTGAGCCTAGGGCCTGTCTCTCCTGTGGATCCCAACACAACATCTGGAGAGGCATGCATCTATGGGGTAGTGGGGGGGGGGGCACCCTGGGTTGTACCTATGTAAGAGAAACAGTAAATTTGTGTTCTATGAACAGGAACGTGATATTATCAGTTTCTGACTGGACTCCCTACCCTTCGTTTTTCCCTATAAGCAGGTGTTGTATAAACAATGTTTCTCATTTAGTGGCCTTTCTTTACAACAGTAGATGATGTAGTATTTAAGCAGATATTAAAGACTTTCCAACAAGAGACATAATCTCACAGTAGTGGGATGTGTTTCAGGGCCTGGATCTGAAAGGAAGGGAGGGAGAGGGATGGGCTGTAGCTAAGAAGGTGTAGGTTGTTTCCTACAGGGAGCCAGTGAGTCACCACCAGGTCCTGGCAGCCTGGAACATCAGAAGGGTCCAAGCTGCTCTGTAAATCCCAAGCTGGATCCCCAAAGGGGAGGAGTCAGTGCTATTGAGAGTTGGAAGAGTCACAGGACTCAACTATCTTTTGAGTAGAAACCTATGTCATGTATTGGAGAAAGTGGAAAAGGAAGGCCAGTTTTTTTGATCACCTTTCTGTTGGCTGGGACAGAATACCTGACATACACAATTTAAAGGAGGAAATGATTTGTAATTTTGGCTCATGGTTTCAGGGATTTCAGTCCATGATTGGCTGGCTCCAAGGCAAAAATATGGCAGAAGGCAGCCAGAACGCTGAAAGACCCAGAGAGAAGATAAGCCCTTTGGAGCCACGCCCCCAGTGATCTACTTTCTCCAATCAAGCCCCACCTCCCAGTTGCCCATTCAGCTACAAACTTATCCACTGCGTTAACCCATTGATGAGGTTAGCACCCTTACAAGCCAGTCACCTCTCCTGGGATCTCCTAATCCAATCAGCTTGACAGTCAAGGTTAAGCATTACAAATTATGGGGCTGCTTGTAGCCAGTAGCAGCCGAGTTAAAGGGATCTCATGCTTCACCAGGCTGAACCAAGGGGCACACCTCCAGCCCATTCCTGTTGGGAAGCTCAGGTCCAAAAGGATCCCTGAGTATCTCCAGGCAGGGGGCCCAGTACTGGGCCCAGAGTGAGGAAGCAGCTGGTCCCATGTGAGCGTTCCTAGCACCTCCACAGACAGTGCCCCACATGTGTGAACTGCCAAGGCGGTAACAGAATCATGGCAACCAAGAGAGGAGGATGGGAGAGGGCTGTGGCACTCTAGTTTAGACTTGCAGGTTGAGCAGTGACTGAGGACCATGTGCACAGGCCTGGGATCCCCAGAGTGTGCACAGGCACTAGCAAGTAGTGTTGGTAGGAGTGGCACATGGGGAGGAAGGAAGGAAGGGCTTAAAGGCCTGCCACGGTCGGCTTTGTTCTATGGGCACTGGGGAGCCATGGTTTCTAAGGACATGGCAGACTGAGACCTGTCCCTCTGTTCTCATGCTCTCCCCACTGTATGCAGCTTGTTTTTAAATTTATACTTACTCTTTTCCCAATTTTTATTTTATTAGTTCATTTATAGTACATAATAATTACATTCCTTGTAGGGAGTTGGTACATGGGCTTTTTTCCTCCCCTTTCTTTCCCCTCCCCCACCCTCAGTTCCCACTTGCAAAAGATCTCCCTATTTCCTATTATCTTATATTTTGCACTTTATATTTTGAGTTTCTCATGTAAGAGAAACAATGTGATATTGAAGCTTGTGTCTGATTCCACTTAACATTATGGTCTCAAGGTGCATCCATTTTCCTACAGATGACTCAAATTTATCTTTCTTTATGGCATTTCTTGTGTGTAAATAGCACATTTTCTTTGTCCATTCATCTGTTGATGGACATGTAGGCTGCTTCCAAGATTTAGCTAAGTTTCCATAAACATGGGTCTGTATGTATCACTGTAACACGATTGCAGCTTGCTGTCTTGAGCAGGCTTCAGGACACCTCTGCCCAACCAGGCCTGGGCTTTGCAGCACCATCCTTGTGTGCCCTCTGTGAGGCAGTGGCCCCACTAGGCTGGTGACACTGACAAAAGCAGAACTGCAGAAGGGAGATGATACCACAGAGAAGGGAGGGCTCCCGAAATCTCAAAAAACTGGTTACTGACCACAAATGGCTTCAGTGGTTCTAAAGGATGACTTCAAAGATGCTACAAGTTACATAATACTATCTTGGGTAGGTATAGCTGGGAGTCAAAAGAGTTTGTTTCCACGAAATCAGGAATTGTTAGCTTTAGAATTCATGCACTCCTCACTGCTGGAGATGTTGTCAGAGACCAGGTGCCCATCACAAGGAAGTTAAGGAGGAGATGACAGGTGAACGAGGGCCTGTCCAGGCCTGGGTGCTATGTACTTGATCAAAATAACATGCATTCCCAATGAAAAACAGTTACAAGGCACAATATTCATGTTTTATTAAAACAAACCACATATTAGAAAATTGCTGTCATTTAAAAATATCTGCCAGGACTGGGGATGTGCCTCAGTGGTAGAGCACTTGCTTGGCACGTGCAAGGCCCTGGGTGTCATCCCCAGCACCACAGGGAAAACACAAATCTGCAAGCAATCCACTGTGTGTGTATGGAAATTTCTACAATTCGACTCTGGAAAAGAAGAAAGTACATGAGTGATACCCTTATGAACATCTCCCTGAAGAAGACATGCTCCTGTGCTAAGAGTATGGAGACTCCCACTACTGCCACATGGTGGCTGGGCACCTCAGATGCCTCAGCACCATGATGATACACAGAACACTGCTGGGGTGTTATAAATCCCAGCAGGATAGAGCACCACAGATTTTAAGGCAAGTTCATAACTTTTCCTCACAGCACTAGAAGTTAAGAGTCATTGTCCCCATTTTACTATGAGGCTACAAGAAGTAAACAGTGGCTACCTGTGGTCCTACGGCTGAATACTGAACTAAATGCAGTTTTCTGGCTAGCACAGGCCTTGGCCCGGAGCAGTTTTCCTGCTTTATAGTTCAGCTCTGTTCCTGCTATGTGAATCCTAGACTTCTCAAAACAAGTCTCCTCAGGTGTATGTTTTCATCTCAGAGGCCAAAAAAAGTAATCCAATGGTGGAATCAGGTCCCACAGAATAACATTTACATCCACCCTGGACCCTTCACTCCAATCCCAGCTGTATGACCTTGGGAAAGTGACACATCTGTCTCCATTTCATCATGCACAGAATGGGAAAATTTCTGCCTCTCAGGGACAACGTAAGGACCGATGACTTTACTTTCTTTTTGTTGCACCGGGGATCAAACTCAGGACCTTGCGCTTGCCAGGCAGGCACAGTGCCACTGAGCCACATCCCCGGCCCATGGACCAATGAGTTTAGTAAGGCTATGTGTGACAGCAACGACATCCCGTTAAGAGCTGCTATGGCTCGGCTTCTGCAGCTCAGGGTCTGGTAAAAAAGATTTTGCTTTTCAGGGATCGATGAAAATGTGGAGTCAAGTACACATCTCTCTCCATCAGAATTCAGCTCTGGGCCATGCCCAGTAATTAATTTTTCTATTACTGAGATCCTGAAGCATAGTCCCTTCACATCTACCCAGTCAGAGTTTTAAATTATTTGGTCAGAACTAAAGGCACTTTAGTTCCTTATATTCTACTTACACTTACTTACACCTTATATTCTACTTAACCCATATTAAAGTGCCATTTTAAAGCCAAAAGCTATTGGAAACTCAGTTTTATATGGTTCAAACAAATGTACTGAGTCTGTTTAAACCATAAGGAGGGGTGGCCTTTCATGTTCCTCACCCTCCATTATACACTTGAGAAGATGCTTTAACAGTGTAACTTCACAGCCATCCAGGAAACTGACGCTGAACCTTCACACCTGAGGCACAGGTCCTGGAAAGAGGCCATCTTTCCCAGCTAGAGGAGGCCTCTCTGTGAGGTCCTGTCATTTTGGCTTTTTCTGTCATGTCATTCCAGAAACTGGGCTTTCTGGATTTCCTTGGCAACATCTGGGTTTGAGGGGTCTGAGGAGCATGAGGCTATCTGGAGCTGCTCAATGCCCAAAGGTAGCTCTTTTTTCTCTCCTGAGACTGAACCCAGTGATTGCTTAGCAATACTCAACTGCTGATTCCCAACCCACGTCCCCCAGAAAAACAGTCAAATCTCCCAGGTTGAAAGTCACGCTCAAAGGACAGGGAAAAGGGTCAAGGTAGGCACTTGCCTGGGGGAGGGGGTGGGACAGACCTGGGCTTCAGGCTTCTCTGAGCCCTAAACCACTAGCCAGTTCTCGCCTTCCTACCTACCGTGTGCCTACTAGGTGCCAGAGGAGGTCCCCAGACTGAGGACAATGCGTTTGGACAATTCAGGATGCTCAGGGTATCTGTGGGTGCCCCACTTTCATAGACCTGCTCTAAAAGCAGTGTAGAGTCAATGACAGTGGTGGGGGAGAACCGAGGAGAGGGCAACAGCAGAAGCCTCTATGACACCTCTGCAACTAGGCCGGGGGACTCGGGGGACACTGAGCGGGCGAAGGTGGTCACGCCTGGGGCCCTAGGGCAGCCGGGGGATGCTGATGGTCCCTTCCCAGAGCCGCAGGGCCGGGTACAATGGCTCCTGGAAGGAGTCGTGGAAGGTGTGCAGGTGGCGCATACCGTCCCTCACGTCGTAGAAGGCAAGGACGCCGGCCTCGTAGTCCAGGAAGACCCCGAGGCGGTCCGGGTCGCCCCGGGGCCGCAGGCGGCTGCGCTGGCAGTCGTGGAAGGCCCAGTACTCAAGGTCATAGCGCTTGAGGCACCAGGACTGGCGGTTGCAGCCCAGGCGGGCGGCAGCCGTGGCCCCGCGGCGCCGCAGGGAAGGGTAGGCAGCGCCCACCCACCAGCCGCAGCCCGCCTCCTGCACGTCCACCTCCCAGTAGTGGCGGCCGGCGGCGAAGCAGTCTCGACCCAGCACCTGCCAAAGCTTGTCGAAGCGTAGAGCGGGCGTCGGCCCCAGGCTGCCCACGAGGCCACAGCGCAAGGTCAGGCGGTCGGCAGAGAGGCGCAGGCGCGCGTGCATCGTGTCAGGATCCAGCGTCGGCGTGCGCGCGTCTGCGGAGGGGACAGAGCCATGTCCGGTGGGCGGAGCGGTGCTGGCCCCGCCCACTCCCCGCCCACAGTTCCTCCCCGTCCCCGCTCTCTCCGGAAGGTCCCAGGAGCGCGGTATCTTAGGGGAGGGCCCACCTGGAGTCACTAAACCCACTTTTAGCCCCGACTGTCTCGGGGGAGGTGGCTTGTGGACAGACGAATGACAGAAAATCTTACTGTACACCTTGTGTACTATTTGAATTTTGTGCCATGAAACTTACTGCCAATTTCTTTAAAAATTCATTAAAAAATAATCCTATCCACTCGAGAGGCCGAGGTAGGAGGATTCCCCAGTTGGAGGCCAGCCTGAGCTACATAGGAGGCTCTGTCTCAAAAAATCCCAAGTAAACCAAATAATATGAATCCTATTACTATTAACACTGGGGTCTGTCCTTCCAAACCGCCCCCCCCCCCGCACTTGCTGCTTTAGTTTTTCTTAATACTGGTATACCATACAATCTCAAATAATCTGCTTTTTAAAATTCATTGATATATTCATGAACATTTTAGCACATACATACACTCTTACATGAACATTTTAGTGGTGACAATAAGATTTTGATGTATGGATACATTATAATTTAATCCTCTTTTTAAAAAAATTCGGCTTTAAAAACTTTTTGAAAACAAAAAAATATGATTACACTTTTATGGACTTGATTACTCTTTAGGATCAGCCTTTTTTAGGATATAGAGTCCTAAAAGAAAGAATTACTAGGTCAGTGGGTCAATGTGTGTTTCTAATGCCTTTGACAGATATTGCTGAATTGTCCTCAAGAAAAGTTGTAGTAATTTAAATCCCCTTTAACACTTCTCTTTGCATTATACCAAGTATGTAGACACAAAATTTGTTTTTTTTTAAAAGTCTGGATCATACTATATGTGAATATTCACTTTTATTTATGTAGACACTGGGGATTGAACCCAAGGCCTTCTCACTGAGCTACATCCCTAACCCTGTTTTAATTTTTTTATTTTTAAGACAGGGTCTCATGTTGCTAAATTGCCAAGGCTAGGCTCAAACTTGTGATCCTCCTGTCCCAGCCTCCCTGAATGCTGGAATTAGAGGCTGTCTGCCACCACACGGGGTGGATGTTTAGCTTTAGTAGAAAATGATTAACAGTTTTCCAAACTGCTTACATCTCCACCAGTAATGTAAGGGAAATTTTTGCTATTCACCTATTTGTTAGCCCTTGATGTTTATAGCTTTTGAAATTTTAGCCATTCTGTAGGGACTGTAGGCTGTCTCATTGAAGTTTTAATTTATATTTCACTGATGACTAATATTATTCAACTTTTTTATGTTTTTACTGGCCATTTAAATATCTTTCATGAAACACTGGCTTAAATCTTTTGCCTATTTTAAAAAATCAACTACCTGCCCTTTATTTATGGATTTGTAGAAATTCTTGACAAATTTGATATGAGTCTTTTGTTGAATATGTTTCTAATGCAAATATATTTTCCTACTTTAAGGCTTGATTTTTCACTCCCGAGTGCTAATGAAGAGAAATTCTTAATTTTGTTGAAGTCTTTAAAGAATTTTTGTTGTTTTAGCAATTGTGTGTGTATTTGTGATATTGGAGATTGAACCCAAGGCCTCAAGCATGCTAGGCAATCACTCTACCACCAGTCCTCTAAAAAAGTTTATGTTGAGACTAAGTCTCACCAAATTTCTCAGCCTATCCTTGAACTTGGGATCCTACTACCTCAGCCTCTGGCGTAGCAGGGACTGGAGACATGTACCACCCATGGAGGAACTTTCTATTTTGTCTGTCTCTAAGATAGCCTTGGCTATTCTCTACACTTTTAGGTCTATATACATTTTTTTTTTTTTTGAGACAGGCTCTCAGTATGTAGTTCAGGCTGGCCTTGAACTCATGATGAAGCTCAGGCTGGCCTCGAACTCAAAGTAATCCTTTTCCCTTAGTCTCCCAAGTGCTGGGATTACAGGCATGCGCCACCACACCCAGCTTCACCTCTATAATTTTTTAAGGAACAAAAATGTTCACAATACATCAGTAAATGAAAACACAGATAATAAAACTATGTATAATATGATACCTTGTTTGGAAAAAGATGCCTTAAGTATGTCATTATATGTATATTAGCTATGCAAAAAAGGAGCTAAAGAAACAAATAATAATAATAAACTGCCGAATGTGGTAGTACATGCCTGGAATCCCAGCACTCATGAGGCTGAGGCAGGAGGATTCTGATGAGTTTGAATACCAAAAAGATAGTAAAGTATGGAGATTATGAGTAATTTTTTTCTTTTGTTATCTAATTTTTCTACGTGAACATGTATTATTAAAAGACTAAGACTAAACCGGGCATAGTGGTGCATGCCTATAATCCTGGTACTTGGGAAGCTGAGGCAGAAGAATCACAATGAGTTTGAAGTTAGCCTGGGCTACATAGTAAGCTCAAGGCCAGCGTGCACTACAAAGCAAGACCCTGTCTCAAAAAAACCAAAAAACAAAAGACTCAGACTTAAAAAAAAAAAAAAAAAGGATTTTTATAGTCCGGAGGATCACCTTCTGAGCTACATCCCTAGCCTTTTTTATTTTCTGAGAAAAGGTCTTGCTAAATTGCCCAGACGATCCTCAAACTTGAATTTGCAGTCTTCCTTCCTTAGCCTCCTTTGATGCTGAGACTATAGGCATGCCCAGAACTTGTGTTTTGTTTGTATGATTTTTGACAGGGCCTCTAGGTACTCCAGGCTGGCCTCGAACTGGATCCTTCTGCCTCAGCCTTTGAGAATGCTGGGATTACAGGTTTAGGCCAAAACATGCAGCCTCAAACATTTCTTAAAAACCCCAAAAAGGCATTGGCTCTATTAACAGGAAAGGGGGAGGGGCTACCATTTCCAGGGCCTGCCCCTGCCCCTGCCCCTACCTCTACCTCTGCCCCTGCCTCTGCCTCCCTCCCTCTGTACCTCTCCCAGGGTCTTACATTTTAAGAGGAGCGATCTCTCTGGTGAGGGACTTATTTTCAGCAAGGTACCTGGCTTGGTGCTAGAGGAGCCGGACAGCTGGCATTTCAAGTCTGTGGGGAATTGGGAGAAATGAATGCCTGGAGCTTGTGCAAGCAACACACATAAAACATACTATAAAACTGAACATTTGCATACTCTCTTCCTAGGCATCCCATGCAAATTTAAGTAGGAAATGTAAATCTACAGCAACAGAAAGCTGCAGGACAACAAGCAACCTGGCAGTGGCTGGCAGTGTTCCAGCCCTAGAGAGGAGGAGAAGCCCAGGATCAAACACTTGGGTGGGAGGCAGCCTGTGGGCCAAGCGCAGATTCCAGGAGGAAGAGGCCAGAGAAGTCAGAGCTGAGTCCTCAGAAGGGGCCAGTTCTCAGGAAGAGAAAATGATGGGTGATCATCCAACAAGAGGGCTCCTTGGGAGCTGGGGGCCCTGGGCACTTGCTGTCCCTCTACCTGGAACCCTCCCCTGGGCCTTGCCCATGTGGTTTCTTTCCCAGTTGCTTGGGTTGGAGTTTGTCATCTCCCTGGCCAGGTTCTGAAGCTCCCCCTTCCCAACCCCCATCACTTATCACCAGGGTCTGGGGAGGAAATGTGGGAGAGCACTTCCAGCCAGAGGCCTCTCCCCACACCTCTAGAATCATCACTCCTACTGCCTGAGTGAGATCACCACACGGGAAGGTAAGCTCCTCACATCCAACAGGCCCATACTGTCCTTTCCTCCCATCCTAACTTTTCCATTGCGGAAAATGACACTTTTTTTCTTCCAGTTGCTCAAGACCAAACCCTTGGGGCCCTTGATATCTCTGTCCCCTCCTCTACCTCCTCTACTCCATATCCACTCCTCTTTGCTGTTCTTTCTGCACACCATGCTCACTCTCACCTGGCCTCAGGACATGCACTTGGCTTTACTCTCTCCCTGGAGCACATTTGCCCAGAGGAAACAGCAACAGTGATAGCAGCTAGCATATGGTGCTGAGTATGCCTGGGCCCTTATATACAAGAACTCATTTACTCTTTACAACTCCCAAGAGGAAGCTCCGGAAGTTCCTGCACTATACACACATGGAAACAGGGGCCTAGAAAAGTTGGTTTTGTTGCCCATGGTGTCATTCTGGCTCCACACCCGTGCATGTGACCACTGTGCTCTCCGGCCCTCGGACCTGCAGAGCCCGCAGAATGCAGCTTCTCAGAGAGGCCTGGCCAGCTGCCCTGGATGAAACAGTTCCTCCTCATCGTCACTATCTGTTCTTCTTGCCCTGCTTTATTTTACTTCACAGCAGCTTCTCTCACCTGACATACACGAGTCTGCTGTCTGCCCCTCAGCGGGGGCTTTGTTTCATACCTGGCACACAACAGGGGCTCAATCAGTGTTCTGAGTGAATCATCACAGCAGAGGTGAACAAATGAAGGAATCAAGGAGCAGAGATTTCTGTTTTGGGTTTTTTGAGACAGGGGCTATGTAGTTCAGGCTGGCCTTGAGTTCATTATGTAGCCCAAGCTGGCCTCAAATTTGTGGCAATCATCCTGCCTCAGCCTCTGAGTGTTGGGATTATAGGTATGAGCCACCCTGCCGAGCTAAGGAGAAAGAGTTCTGAGAACCTGCTTTGTGCAAGCCCTGTGAGTACCCGGCACTTGACCCAGTGTGGTTCCTGCCCTTCAGCCATTTACAAGGGGCAAAGAGAGACCCTTATGTTCATCTCACCCATACCCTAGGCGGGAGGGAGGTGGCCGGGGAGGGGTGGGCAGAACCAGTGGTGCCAGACTGCCTGGCTGGGATAGTGGACTGGGTCCAGGCAGAGGAAGAAGAGGAGCAGGAGCTGGCAAGGTGAGGTATGTCAGGATCTAGGAATGGTCTGGTCAGAAGCAGGGCCATTTGGCTGGAGAAGCAGGCAAGACATGGTCTCAGGAAGGGTAAGATCAGATGTCATAAGGGTGGCTGGAGTACCAGGCCTAGGAGCCCTTGATCACTCAGCCAGGGGTGAGAGATACGACTGTGGGTGGGACCTCTGCAGCTGCCTCTGGGCTACAGGGCACTAGGGGAGGTAAGGATCCAAAGGTGGTTGCATGGCCACTCACTTTCCTTCAGGCGAATGTCCAGTGGTGTCTGTAACATGCTCTGCATGGCTTCTGTGAAGTCCTTGAAGAAGCTCTTCACAGGCTCAAAGGACTGGGGCACAGGGTGGCTCAGCTCTGGGAGGCTCATGTGCCGCTGCATCTCCAGCTCAATGGCTGTGTATGCCTGTGTGGGGGACACAGGGTCAGTGCGCCTGGGGGCCTGTGGACAGGGCCATGCCATCCAGCCAGGCCCACCATGCCCCTCTCCTGTGGTCAGCTCCAGTTGGCCCAGAGCAGCTCCTTCCATATAGAGTAGTGGGGCTTCACTAAGCCAACCCCAGGAAACTCACTTTCCCAGCCTGCTTTGTACCCACAAAGGTGAGAGGCTGGCCCAGGGGACATATGAGTAGATGGAGTGAGACTGGAGGCCAACAGAGGAAAATGCCACCACATGGTAACCCCAAACTCCACCATCTGGCCTGGGGTCTGACACAGAGTAGGTTCTCAATATATGTATGGTGGAATAAATGAGTGAATGATACCAAGCACATCTGCCTCTCGCCTTTCCAGATAAAGAGAACAGCTCCCATCACACAAACCAGAAACTCAAGCACCATCTTGGATTTTGCCTTCTCACCCCCCAGCTCCGATCTCCGTTCCTACTGTATGTCTGAATCTTCCTGTTTCACACCTTCCCTGCTGCCCCCACCCAGGTCCAGGCCACTGCCATCACTCTCGAACCATGTGGTCTCCCCGGTCCAGCCTTCTGTCCAGCTTTTAGGGAGCAACCCTTGCCCTGTCACCACTATGACCTTTCCTCAGCAGTGACTTGACTATATCGATGCTTTCATTCCCCCATTCAGCACATTCCTCTGGCTCCCACCATTTTACAGGACAGAGTCTAACCTTATGGCTTGGTGTATAAGGCCCTGCATGAACTGACCCTGATCTCCTGACACAGTGCCATTTCCCAATACCTCCCCCACCTACACCTGACCTTCCTCTAGGCAGGCTGACCCCAGTCAGTTCTCCAGGCTGTCAAGCGCTCACATGTCCATAGTTTCTTCCTGCCTGTGACATCCTCTCTGCCGTGTCCCTCCGTACATACCTACTCATCTTCATACCCAGCTCCACAGTGCCTCCTAAAAGTCTCCCCACACCTCTCTTCCTATAGAGAGTTAGGTATTTGTTGTATATACTTTTGCTAGTTTGCTTGAGCTATATTATAAATAACTCTAACTGTGTCTCCCCATCTCACTCTGAGTTCATTTCCAGCAGGGGCTGGGTTCAGTGTGTATTTGATGACTCCATGAATGAACAAATAGAAGGAAGGGATGATGACTGATTAAAATCAGGAGCTTTGCCACAGAGAGTAAAAAGAAAGAGATGTCAAAGCCTCGAAACTGGGTGTTACGATGTGAGACTCTTTTTTCAGGAGAGGGGTGTGTGTGTATCATTTAAGACTCTATAAGCAGAGGGCCAGGCAAGGTGCCTTGTGGGATTAGGAGTCAGACAGACCCACATTCTGATCTCAGCTCTGCCACCTTCCAGCTGTGTGAGCCTGGTGAGTCTTCAGGAACCTGAACCCTAAGTTCTAATGCATAAAATGGGGTGAGAATATCTACTTCACAGAGCTCTAGTGACTATCACAGCTAAGATACTTAAAATGGGCAGCTCAGAAGCCTTTGAAAATGGTGGCTATTAAGTTATTTAATTAGCACAAGATGCACATTATTTTCCTAGCTATGTATACTCTCCGGCCACTTGTATGGGGGAGAGAAAGTCTATGAGCTGATAAGGCAAATATCTGTGCATTTACTTGTTGTGCAAACATTGTGTTCAGTGCCACGACAACCACAATGGGGTGTGGTGATGGCAGGTGGCAGCTGCAGGAACAAAAACCCCAGCATTACCTGCAGCAGCTGGATGGGGTTGGGCTCCTGGCCGATACTCCAGATTCTGCTGGAGAGCTCATTCATGACATCAACTTGCTTCTCGCAAGACTCAGCTTGCTCCCTGTATCCCTGGAGAGCAAGTTGCATGTTTTTATCAACGAATTTTTTGGCCAACACTTCCTCTTCATCAAGGAGTAATCTGAGTTCAGTGAATTTCTCCTTCAGCCAGGCTTTACTTGACTCTGCATGAGCCTAAAAAGAAAACCAGTTCAGGTGCTGAGTTTTCCGACAAGGAACACAGGATAATCGATATGAAAAAGATGATAACATCTACAAAGCAAGTTCAGCAAGGTGGTCAGTCAGACACAAGGTCAATTTGTAAAAACCAGAGCTTTTTGAAGTACTGGCCAACGCTGACCGGAAAATACACAGACAAACACAGATTCTTTTTAAAATAAGGAAGGGAATAGCAAAATATCTAAAACTAAATCTAACAAAAATGTGAATGACGGCTGGGAATTTAGCTCAGTGGTTCCGGTACCTGCCTAGCAAGCGCAAGGTCCCAAGTTCGATCCCTGGTACCAAACAAACAAACAAACAAACAAAAATGTGAATGACCTAGATAAAGAAAAGTATAAATTATACTTAAAGACAAAAAAATCTCTGACTACATAAAGTAAAAACAACATTCCTGACTAGGAAGATTCATTACTTTCATAAAGATGTTATTTCCTCATATAGGAACTGGTCTTAGAAAAAACATTCACATGTCCATCAAGATTTGTTTTTTTTTTCTTTTCTGGTCCCGGGGATCGAACTCAGGACCTTGCGCTTATGAGGCAGGCACGGCACCACTGAGCTAAATCCTGGGCTGCAGCAAGATTTGTGTACCAAGATTGTCACTATGGGATTTATACATACAGAATAGAGGCCAGTTAGGCATACTTTTCAATATGAGACATGCATGTGTATTAGTTTTATAAATTATGCTACATTCATATAGTGAAATAATTTATGCCAGGTGTGGTGGTGCAACCCTGTAGTCCCAGTACTCAGGAGAATGGGGCAGAAGGATCCCTGTGAGTTTGAGGCCAGTTTGGGCTACACAGTGAGTTCGAGGCCAGCCTCAACTGCACAGTGAGACCCTGCCTCAAAAAAAAAATTTATAACAAAAAGCATGCACTGTTCTGACACATGCTACAACATGAATGAACCTTGAAAGCATTATCCTAAGTGAAATGAGTTAGACACAGGAGGAGAAATAACGTATGTTTGCACTTAAACAAAATATTTAGGACAGGCAAATTGGTGGAGACAGAAAGTGAGGTAGAGGTGACTAGGGGCTGGGGAAGGGGAATAGGGTATGAGTGCTCAGTGGTTTCAGAGTCTCTCTTTGGGGTAATAAAAAAGTCCTAGAAACAGGTCATGGTGATGATTGTACACCATTGTAAAAATAATTAATGCCCCTGAATGAACTTAAAAAGGGTTAAAAATTAGCTAATTTATGTTATGTATATTTTAGCACCCTAAAACAATTTCAGGGGCCAGGGATTTAGCTCAGTGGTGCCACTGCCTGCCTCACAAGCGCAAGGTCCCAAGTTCAATCCCTGGTACCAAAAAACAAATAAACAAACAAAAAACTCGAAACGGGGAGGAGTGTGCTGGCATGGAAAGCTCTGTGAGGCACCTGTGAGAAGGAGCAAGCTGCAGAGTAGCTGGGACTACAGGTGTGCACCACCAAGCCAGGCCCAGAAGCCTCCTATATCTAAGGGCCTTTCAGCTCTGCAACCTGTGCACGTTCTACATCCCTAACTAGGCCTGGATTCAACAGACAGTAACCAATCTCAACGTATATAAATAAATATCTATATGTATATACACATATGTATATACAAACATATCCCCTTTTTTCACTTATAAAAACATCCAAAGATCATTGCAGAATATGTGGAAGATTTAGAAAGTTCCTTTGTAAGTCATCTAACCTCAGTCTAACTACCAAGTCCAGGCCGCAGGCAAGTGTTGGGTTTTCCCTGCACCTGGGTGTGTTGGCCCCTTAAGAGCCACCCTATGGAAGTAGATAGCCTGCTAACGAGGACATAAGAGGGAATTATTTAATGGGTATTGGCTGGGGATTAATGACCAAGTCCATCTTCACTGGCCTTTGGAAAGGTGTGGTTGGTTAGGTCTCCTCACTGGCTTCTGCACAAGAGACATTGAACCATGTACAGACTTTATCAACCTGTTTACAAAGCTGTTTTATAGATTAGTTCCCATGCACATGGCCTTTTCCCAAGTACAGACTCCATGAAAGTAAGTATGGAGCAGGTGGCAAGTTCAGCAAGGTGGCCTAGCAGCACCTAGGTTATTATACAGGTCTGTGCCTATTGTGAACGCGGCATTTCCAGGAGTGGTTCCTGCAGGAAATGAATCAAAGTGACAAGAAATTGTTACTGTCTGTTGAATCTAGCCATAGTTAGAGACCTAGAATGTGCACAAGCTGTCAGAATTGAAAAGCCCTTAGATATATGAGGAGACCTAGGCAGGTCATGGTGGTGCACATCTGTAGTCCCAGCTAATCAGGAGGCTGAGGCAAGAGGACTGCTTGAGCTCAGGCCTTCAAGGCCAGGCTGGGCAACATAGTGAGACCCCATATCAAAAAAAGAAAAAATATATTGACGTTGACAAATAATATTTTAATAACAGATAAATGTTTTAATATTTAAAGCAAACAAACAACATATACAAAGTGACATGCAGTTTTGCCGAATAAGGGAGAAGGGTTGGAGGTGTAGCTCAGTGGTAGAGTGCTTGCCTCGAATGCAAAAGGCCCTGGGTTCAATCCCCAGTACCAAAAAAAAAGGAGAAGGAGAAGGAGCTGACATGACATTGACACCCAGTGTCAGTTGTGGGGACAGGAGCTGAGGTGGAAGTCATGTGATCTTGGCAAGGTTGGAGTTGGAGCTGTGTGTAGGTAAGAGCCACACCTCAATGCATTTGGCCACTCTGGTGGAGCTCAGGGCCCTTGGGCCAATTCCAGCTGGGAGAGGGAAGGGGATGACCTGTACGAAGCCACAGTCATAAAGAACTGCTCCATTTGTGAGCTAAGGACCAGAAAAAGTCTGCCCACTGGCCCAGGGAAAAGGCAAGGAATCTGGTCATGTATCTAGAGTCATCTAGTTGAAAAGAGAATGATCAGCAAAACAAATAAACAAACAAACAGGCAGTCATCACATAAACTTCAAGCATGAATTCCTGGAACTGCAAAATTAATATAAAAACAGGTCTGGGCTGGGTGTAGTGGCACAAGCCTGTAATCCCAGCACCTGGGAGGCTGAGACCAGAGGATGTAGACAAAGGATGGCAACATCTTCCTACCTTTCTAAGCCCAAATTTTTATATAAATACTTCTCAGCTTTAAAATGATGACCACCAGTTCCAATTTTCTTTTACCTCATGAGAAACGCTTGAATGTAAGTCTAACAAAACTTGTATAAGATTTACATGATGAGGGCCGGGGATTTAGCTCAGTGGTTCTGGCATGTGCCACAGAAGCACAAGGTCCCAAGTTCAATCCCTGGTGCCCCCCCCCCAAAAGAAAAAAAATTTATATGGTGAAAACTACAAATACCAATGAAAGAAAACAAAGATGTAAATAAAGAGGCATACCATGTTCATGGATGGAAGACTCAACATAGTGAAGATGGTAACTCTCCCCAAACTGACACACAAAGTTAACACAATTCCTATCAAAATTCCAACAGAATCTTTTTCTTGTAGATATACACAAGATTATCCTAAAATTGAAATGGAAAGGCAAAGAAACTAGAAGAGCTAAAATAATTTTGGGAAAAGCTGGATATGGTGGCATACACTTGTAATCCCAGCACTCTGGGAGGTTAAGGCAGGAGGACTGTACATTCTGCCCTACCTGAACAATTCAGTAAGACTTTGCCTCAAAAAAAGGGTTGATGATGTCTCTCAGTGCAAAGGTCCTGAGTTCAATCCCCAATATTGTCAAAAAAAAAAAGTGAGAGAGAGAAAATAAAAAGAAGAATAAAGTGGAGGCATCAGTTATTTTAAGGCCTATTATCATCTACAGTAATTGTAATTATGTAATATTGGTAGAGAAACAGACACACAGAATAAAGAACTCAGAAATAGCCCCAGACAACTATGGCCAACTGATATAAATAATATATATCAGTTAATTAATTAGTTAATTATTTTGCAGTACTGAGGATGGAACCCAAGGCCCTGTGCATGCTAGACAAGTGCTCGACCACTGAATTATATTCTCAGCCCTTTTTATTTTATTTTGAAATTGGGTCTTACTGAGTTGCCCTGGCTGGCCTCAGAACTTTTGATCCTCCTGCCTCAGTCTCCCAAGTAGCTGAGATTACAAGCACGTATCACCACACCCAGGTAAAAGTAAACTATTAAATATAAAATTATAAAAATAAATTTAAAATGTGAAACCAGTGGTTATATAATTCTACACACACAAAGATACTGCCAATTTCCTTTTTTTTAACACTGTACTATATATAGTTAAGATGTAACCTTGAGGGAAATGAGGTGAAGGTACTCAAAGCATCTCTATATTATCTTTGCAATTTTCTGTGAATCTATAGTTATTTCAAAGTAAAAAGTTAAAAAGTTGCTGAAACCTGCTCAGCCCTTCTCTTAGGCCCTCCATATTGGGCCTAATTCTCCCCCTGGGGATCCCCAAACCATATCTGTCAGATATCTGTAGATGTGGTCCTGTGCTTCTACTGTTCGTTCTTCAAGCTGAAGAGCCTGAGTATCTCTTCCATCCCTGGGAAGGAGGCACTTTCCAACTTGCCAGCTTTCACTTGCCAAGTCCTTTTGGACTGATTTATCTTCCTGAGCCCAGAGTCTTGCTCTTGACAACATGTGAGACACTATTAATAATTAACCTGAGGCCACAGGTTCAAACCAAGGTCCTCAGCATATCAGGGCATGTAGCTACCTCACAGATAAGGGATGTCAGGTAAATGAGGGAAACAGGTCCATGGCCTGGCCTGAGCCTCAGCATGCAGTAGTCTCCTGGCCTCAGGATGGTCATGGGGAGACCTAGTGCCAGCTTTTCCCGCCAGTCTTCCTACCTGCCTTGTGTGGGTTATTCATGGGTTGAGTAGGGCAGACCTTAGGGGACATCCCATGCCAGCCCTCACTTCTGGGAGGAAGCAGCTGGGGGCAAGAGGGAAAGAGGCCCACCAGAGTCCCCACAGAAGCCCCTGAAAGATGCAGTGACCTCCTCAAAATGGTGACTCACAAAAATGTCAGCCCCAACTTCCAGCAAAACTCCCAAAAGAATCCATTTAAATAAACATTATATGAAAGTAGAAGCCTGAAGAAAATATGTGATATATTTATGCCTATTTAATTTCCTTCATGGCTGGGAAAACTTCAGAGCTATTTGCATGCCACAAAGCTGTATTTTGCTTTGTTTATAGCAACTTGGGACTTGAGGGCTGAAGGATTAGCTCCTCCAAGACTGAGTAGCAGCTGATGCAATTTAGGGCCTTGGTGGGAACACAGTGGGAGAAAAGGCAGTTCTTCTTCCTCACTTTGTGAGGCAGTAGGGTGGGGCTGGGGTGCTGGGCAAAGACTGCTTCTCCACAGGGCAGACAGAGCAGGAGCCTCGGGTCTCTCACTTGCATGCCCCCTTCATGGTCTTGCACTGAAATTTGTAATTTTGTGCACTTTTTCTCAAAGAGGCCCCTGAATGATAGAAGCCCCAGGACCCCCCAACCTTGAGTGCCTCTCTGAGGCTCCACACTGGGGACACCTGTGTTGGGGGTGGGCATGTGGACATCTGCGTTGGAGCACAGAGGAAACTCCACTTGCCTTGAGCTTCTCGGTGACAACTTCTATCTGGGTTATGTTGCCAACGTGCTGCTGCTTCTTGGTCGCCAAATGCTCGAGACATTCTTGGATGAGTTTCTAAACAAGAGGAGGTTAGGAAAAATGTGAGCATCAACCTCTGGGTCAGCAGCCCTCATCTGAGCTGAGACTCAGGGTCCTCTGATCCTGCACTGGTTATTCCTCTAGTCTCTGCATCCCTCCCACCTTCCTAACACTGCTATTCTTTTTTAAAGGTCTGGTCTGGGTCCCCCTCTCCCTCCCATGGGACCATACTCCATCTGAGCCTTCCTTACAGCTGGCCTTACACTCAGCCTCTGGGCCTGACTACCGGCCCCTACAGGGATGGGACAGGGTTGGGGAGAGACATGGAAGTGTTTTCAGAATCAAGTGGATTTACCAGGGGCTGCCAACTTCAAGAGGAGAGCTGGAAGCCCCAGGCAAGCTGCTCCCAGCACAAGCCCAGAGTGAGAAGAGGTCTAGGTTTGAGTCACAGCTCTTCATGAAACCTCCATTTCCTCTCCAGACTTCAGTTTCCTCTGCTGTAAACAGGGCTGCTGTAGAGACTATTGAGATGTGCACATGGTGCTTGGCAAACATCTGATCAACTCATGTCTTTTCATCATTTAAACATCCACCAGGCATTTGCTACTGTGTGCGGGTCTATTCTAGGCAGGAGGTGAGCTGGGGCAGAAACACAATCAACCCAAATGTGAGCCTTGGTCTCAACTTCCAGGAGCATGGCCTTGCCCACTGTGATTTTTAAGCCAGCTCCTGTCCATCATGGCTCAAGGATACCTCTAAGCTCCTGGTCTATGTGCTCCAGCCACTGGTGCCACTTCTGTCTTGGGACCCGATTCATCCTTCAAGGCCATTTCCAATGGCACCTTTCCCAGGAAGTCTTTTCAGGCTTTCTGCCCCTAGTTTTCACATCTTCTCTGTCACTCATCATTGCCTTGGCTCCCCAGTGACAATACTTATCACACTGTGCCCCGCCCCCATTATTACAGCTAAAAGGAAGATTCTTGGAGGGAAAGGGCAAGTCTTGCGCCTCCACCAGCCAGGCTGCCCCCCATAGGCCCAATTTCCCTTAGCGTTCTAAGGTTGCTTTCCTGCAGAGAAACAGTCATCGTGGGCAGAGCTCACTGGAACCAGTAGAGTCAGTGTCTGCAGAGACAGGAGGGCCTTCCTAGCCCAGCCTTTAAGAAGCCAGAGAGCCATGTGTGGTGGCACATGCCTGTAATCCCAGCACTGGAGGCTGAGGCAGGATTGCTAGCCTGGGCCTACATAGTGAGTTCAAGACCAGCCTGAAATACCTAAGGAGACTCTGTCTCAAAAAAAAAAAAAAAAAAAAAGAAGCCAGAGAGGGGGGATTAGATCAGAGCCACAGTGCTAGAGGCAGAATGCAGAGAACCTGGCCCCTGTCCACCATCAGGATTTTGGTAGAATAAGGGGACCAAGATGAGAACCAGCTCTGTGGGAAGGATTCCTGCTGGTGGGGTCCTGGGTTCAAGGCCTGCCTCTAATTCCAGAGCCTTGTTTTTGTTATCCATAACGTGACTGCAATACTAACAACAGCTGGCACAGGGCTGTCAGGCTCTGGAAAGGGTGCAGCTCCGTGGAGGCCAAGCGGGCTGCCCAGGGAGGAGAAGGGGCCACTGAGGCTGCTCCCAAGCCAACAGGGGACAGTCCTCAGATCACGGCCTTCTGTGAACTCCAGGAGGTGGAGTAACCCAAGGCCATGTCTGTTGGCTTTCTGGGTGGGGGGCATCCCTGTTAACTGAAAGAGAGATTTCCAGCTGCGGTGGACCTGCCATGGTGGGTGAGGTCAAGGACATCTGGGTACTTGCCTGGCTCCCAGGTCTCGTCCCCAAACCCATCTCTTCCGAAGCTTAACCGGTGGCTTTGGCTCCCCTGGGCCACAGTCTCCTCTTCTTAGGTCTACCAACCACCTAAATGACTGCTGGGCCACCTTCGGGTTTCCAGGTCCTAACGATGGTTGGACCCAGACACGCCCTGCGCCCTGAGCCTGCACGGTTCCCACCTGCACTCGCGCCGCCTCATCCCGCGCCAGGGCCACCGGGTGGCCGCGATGCCCGCCCAGCACCGGGCAGAGCGCGCACACGCAGCGGCCGCAGCGGCGACAGAAGAGCTCCACCGGGCGACCCCCGTGTTCGGAGCAGCGCCAGCTGCACGTCTCCTCCGGCTCGGCGGGGCCTGGCCCCCCGGGGGTCCTGCTCTGCGTGGCCGCGCCGGCCATTGGCTCCACGCTCCCGGCTCCCGCAGCGCGTGGGGGCGGGGCTCCTCGGAATCGAAACTGGGTCGGGGGCGGGGCAGGGCTCAGGCCCGCCTGCCACGGGGTCCCGCCCAGCGCTGGGACGACCTTGGCGCGAGCTCTCCCCAGCAGGGTGCTCCTCGTGTCCGCCCCAGACTGAAAGTGTGCGCCGAGAAACAGGGACTCACTCCTAATGGGCTAATTGGAAGAAAGTGACACTCAGTGACACTAGTCCAGTAACTCAGCAAACTGCAGCTAGGTGGGGATGGGACCGCGGTTGGGGTGGCCTTAGCTACACTCCACACTTTCCCTTATCCTGTGCCCTCTCCCACAGTTGTGAGGAATCCCTGGGAAACTCCAGTTGCCCGCAGGCTAAAATTTACGAGGTCTTGGGCTCTTAACAACCCTTGGACCCTGCCCTTTGCTCATTTCCAGAGTGAACGACAAGCGCTTTTCCCTAGAACACTCTTGTGCTCCCCAAATGCCCTCTGCCCTGCCTACTTTCATTTACCTCTTTTGGGGTTTTGGCCTGGCTGTCACCTCCTCTAGGGTGCCTTCCCCAATTCTCCCAGAGCAGTCTGGCCTGTCCTAGTCCTGGGGCAGCAGGTGGTGGTGGTGATGGTTAGGACCTTGCCTGTCCTGTTTCTCAGCCGAGTGTCTGGCCCAAACAGTAGGTGGTCACTTAATTGGTATTTGTGGAACAAATAAAGAAATGCAAAGTTCCTTTTGTTACATTTCTATCCAGATGTTTATTGTTTTGTTACATTCTTTCCATTGCACAATTCCATATCTATTTTCACTTTTATTTCTTTATTTTTTACAAAGGTACAAGGAATTTCAGAAACATTAAAACAATCATTCGAACTGTTTCAGGCACGGTTTCATATGAAAAGCATTGCTCCATTCCTGACTTCCTGTTTCCATCTATGATACAGTCTCAACTCTTGTCTCAGGAAGTGCAATCACTGTAGAGCAATGGTGGACACTAGCTGAGGCTCATCTCCAGTGGAGAGTTCCTGAGTCAACAGAAAGGGGGCTCCCGGAGTAAGGGGTACAGTAAGGAGATGAGCTGCAGGCACTACCTATTTGCTAGGCACGGTCCACTCCATCAGCTCAAGAACAAAAACAAAAATATAATTTAAAAAAAAGATAGCTTAAAAAATATCTGATAAAAATTACCTATCCCTCTCCCTTGCTGTGAAATAATTTAAATAATTTACTCTAGGTGTTAAAAAAAAAAAAAAGACAGAAAACAACTTTGTTCGAAGCCCTCGTCCTGTTTCCAAGTGTGAGGTCCAGGTTCCCCAGGGTGGCAGCTTTTGAAGGGATGCTGGAAGCTCTCCAACTCAAACACCCCTCCCACCTTGTGCCCCTAGCTGGGCAGCCAGTGGCTTGGGCATGAGGTTCCTTCACTTCTCTGAGGCCAGGTCTTCCCTTCTGACCACTGGACTGTAACGCCTGCCTGACCTGCGTAGGAGCATGTGCCAGTGAGTGGAGGTGGGAGGGCTTTGTAAACTGTGAAGTGCTGGCAAAGAGAAAGCGGGCGAGGTAACCCCAGCTGTGCTTCCCTGATAATGCCTGGGACTTGGCCTTTTGTTCTAAGCAAAGTAAGGCAAGCCTGGCTGTTGCTTTGGGGAAATGGAGAATAAAACAAAGAACATGGTGTTTGCAGACAGGCAAAGGCCATCAGCCATAGCTGGGGGGAGCACACTTTGGGAACCATATTTGAGCCCCAGTTCTTGTCTGGTATTCATTGTTCTCTTCAGTAAAGATTGAAGATAGGGCTCAGGGACTGGTCCAGGTCTCTCTGTCCTCACTGTTTTACAGAACCACCAGGGCAGCTTATGAAGTCAGAGGCCCAGGCTCTAGAGACAGCCTCAGTGGACATAGAATGGGGCCTGGTGTCTCTCTCTCCTGAATGCTCTCAAGGGCATTCAACATACAGCATGGATTGAAACGTCCTAGGCTATGTCTTTTGCAGTCCCATCTGAGCTCCAGAGTTACCCCATGGGACGGGGAAAACTTATTGCCTACGCCTTCTGACTAAGGAGGGGCAGATTTTGCTTCTTATTATTCTTAGTTTCTAGCTGGGCTGCTGAACTGACCATGAGAAAGTAAGAGCCTTAGAGTAGGGCTCAGGACAGAGATTCAGAAAGGAGGCATGCAGCTAGGCGTGGTGGCACGCACCTGTAACCCCAGCTGCACGGGTGGCTGAGGCAGGAGGGTCACAAGTTCAAGCCCAGCTCAGGCAGCTTAGTGACTTTGTGTCACTTAGTGACTCTGTCTCAAAGTAAAAAATTTAAAAAGGGATGGAGATGGAGCTCAGTGCAAAGCCTTGGGTACAATACCCAGTATCAGAAAAACAAAACAAAACAAGACAAAAGCAAGAAAGGAAGGACACAAAAACTTCCAGGCCAGAAGGGAGTTTCAGGGCCATCTGGTGCTACTTCCTCACCTAGTGTGTTCCCTGTCTCCAGAAGCCCTCACTGGCGGGTGACCACAGCACTCTGCCAGGATCCAGCCCTAGGGCTCCAGACCTCCTGGAGCCTCTTTTGTTAACCTGGGCTGAAACCTGTCCACATCTTCCCGGAGCAGGCAGGCTATGGAGACAACAGTCCACAGACTCAGCTCTAAGGCCTGTGCCTCCACACGGGGCCAGTGTCTCCTCACATCTGGCTGATTCTGGCTGGGGACAGTGGTTCTGACCTCCTGCCTGTGCTGTAGAATTGGGAACGAACCTTAACGCATTCCTTCAGGTTAACCCTAACCCTCAGTCTCTTTGCCAGTGTGTGAGTTTCTGAGGTCATTACCCCACATGTGGGATCAAGGTCAAAGTCTCTGGGGGCAGACCTGTCGGGGGAGGGTCCTTCCAGGTCCCTCCTGTTCAGATGGAGAACCTGGGACCTGAGAGAGAAGGATTTTGTAAATGGTCACCAAGTAAGTAATGGCATAGCCCAGAACAGAACCAGGGGATTCCTGCTCAGGGGGCCGAGAACTGCATCAGGCCGGAAACGGCAGAAAGACAGGCCAGGAGACCAGGATCTCAGTCCAGCCGTGCCGTGAGACAAACCTCACTTTCCTTCTTTGGGCTTCAGTTTCCCCATCTGTAAAATGAGGGAGCTGGGCCAGATTTCAAACTTCTAAAAATTGGTGTAAATGGCAGAATTCTATATTCCATAGCAGGCCACACATGAAACAGACAGAAGGTGCCATCTGTCGGATTGGGCTCCTGCCTAAGTCTTCCTTCCATTCTGTAGGGCGCAGTTTGAACATCACAGGCAGCAGACCTCCCAGATCCTTCCAGCTTGAGCTTTCTACAGTGTTCTTTCCTCTTCAGAAGTTGTGGACACTGAGAGACAGAATTCAACAAAAGGCAAAGTATCATCTAAAAACAGAGTCAGTGCAGAAACTGCTGTCGCAAGAAGGCAAATAGAGAACGGCACCACGTCCCACTGGAATCTCTTTCAGCAACTGAGAGTTTTGTTTTCTGGTAAAAAATATAGAAATAGTGGTTGTTTTCGGGGGACTTGAGGCTTGGTTCTGGACCTCCCCACAAAGCCAGTGGTGTCCCTGAGGGCGGGGATGGCAGAGGCCTTGCCTAGAACTTCCCAGAATCCATCTGCAAGTTCTTGATCTCCAGTTCCAGCTGCTTGGCCTCGACCTCTCGCTGGGTCAGCAGCTCCCGGAGCCTTCGGATCTCCTCCTGTTGCCGATAGAACATCTGCAGCAGCTGGGAAGGCAGAGGTCAGAGGGCAAGGTCACTTGGGTGGCCTAGGGTGCAGGGGCAGGGCACCAGCAGAAAGGCTAAAAAACTACCTCTTTTTGACTCACAAAGGCAGAGGTGATTAAATCAACAAGGAGGCAATCCATGCACAGATCTTTTTACAAAAATCTCTATTTCACTCAGTAAGGGAAATTCAAAAATATGAAGTTTTAGGGCCGGGGATTTAGCTCAGTGGTTCCGCCGCCTGCCTCGCAAGTGGAAGGACCCGAGTTCGATCGCCGGTACCAAAAAAAACCCCCAAAAAACAAAAATATGAAGTTTTAGACATATTTTGCCTCTTTGGCTTCTGAGGGATGAGAAGGAAGGATATTTGGTCTTGTAGCCTGGAAACTGGTGTTTTTACCACCACTAAACAATATGACTGTGGGTAGTGAGTTCCTTGCCCTCTTTGACCTTTAATTTCTTTCTTTAGGACAGTGATGGCCAACCTTTTAGAGCTTTCAATAGTAACAAACAGCCAGCTGCAGCAAGGTTTGCCAGCCCTGCTCTGGGAATTGGGGTCAGAAAACCTCATCACTGTCAAAATTGTTGCTGCTGTAGAGAACAGCTGTGAGAGGCTGGGCACTCCCCGAGGGCTTTCATTATCTCCTGGATGCTTGCAACAGCCCTATGAGGGTGGCAGTGATGCACCTCCACTTCACATGTGCAAACTGAAGCTTAGCGCCATGGGACCCCCAGGTCTGAGGCCTCCTAGTGAATACTTAGTAGAACTGTGATCAGAGTCCCTCTGCCAGACACCTGTCCTTCTGTTTTTCTCTCCTCAACATTGACTTCCAGGGCTGTGGCCTGTGAGAATCCATCACATGCTATATCAAAAATGTCTACCCCAGGGCCTGGCATACAATAAGGCACTTAACAGAACTTCACTCTGAAACCAGAAAATCCCAGAACATCAGCACTGGAAGAGACTTCAATGCTCACCAGGTCAAACCCTTTGCATTTTCTGTGTGTATATTCACCATTCTGGCATACTGACGGTGCTCACTGCCCGTTTGTTGACTGAATTAACAAAATGAATTAAGGACTAAGTCAGGTCACACATCGGGCTGTACTTCTCAGCCAGCATTTTCCTCTTTCCTTCTGGGCCCTTGCCCTGAGGGGCAGGCAGTGCTGATTCCCTCCCCTGCCCACTGCTAGCAGGCCCACCCCCTCCCTTACCTCATTCTCTGTCTTTGGTGGGGGGCATTCAAAAACATCGAAGCCGTTGGTGATCCAGGACTTCTTCTCCTCCAGCCTGTGCTCCACTGCCCACCTTGGCACCTTCTCCTCCAGCAGGGAACAGGGCCTCCAGCTGCCCTCTGCAGCCAGCTTTGCTGTAGGGTCCAAGGGCAGGGGTGAAGCTGGGGCTCCAGCACTGGAGAGGAGTCTCTCGGGAGGCAAAGTCCGGGGGCTCAGCAGCTGGGAGCCGGGCCGGAGGGACACCAGGATTGGCTCTGGAGGGAAGCAAAGGGCTGTGAGAGGACTGAGTGGCACGAGTAGATGGACATAGGAAGGCTGGCGCACAGAGACATGCAACAGGTGTGGGAGACACAACTGCCTGCAGACAGGCAGAAATCCGGGTCAGGGACAGTCAGATACGAGCACCACATGTGCAGCCATCTAAGCAAGCCTGGTGGTAGGAACTGCATGTGGTGTGCATTGGAGCTGTCCCCAGACACCATGTGTTCCTCAAGTGTAGCCTTGTCCTTGCCTTGTGAGGACAGTCCCACCCACACTGTACTCTGCCATCTACCAAGGCCATGAGTTCTCCCAACATGCCCAGGAGGCAGGGGAGGCAGGAAGAGGAGGAATCAGAGGCCCAGGGAGGAGAGGATCTAAGGTTGCACAAATCTGGTACTTGGCACTGGCAGTAGCCCTTTCAGTGCATCAGAAGGTCCCTCAGCCCCTGGTGAAGGAAACGAGAGCTTCCTTCAAATGGAGGGAGAGAGAGATTCTGAGTCAGGGGTCAAGGGAGCATATGTTGCTCTCTTTCCACTAGGCTGCCTTGGCTACAGAGTTAGGCCAGGCTGAAGGGGCCAAAGAGCCTGGGTGGCAGTTGCTGCCGAGGGTCTCTTGAGCCAAAGAATAATTGCAGAAGTAGGAGTGGGGGATGGGTAGGGGAGTCGGGCTGAGACTGTCCAGTTCCCCTGAAGAGTCTCAGAATCAGATGTGTTCTGTGGCGCAACCTCTCTTGAGCTGGAGGAGCTTTCTGAACCACCATCAAGCCCTGCCTTCCTAGTCCTGTGTGTGACCATCTAATCACTGACGTCTGGCTTATCAAGGGCCTGTCTTTTGAAGATACAGGAAAATGAAAATACAGCCAGCCCGCCCCCCCCGCTCCCATAATACTTGGAGCCACTGGGACTTCAGATTCCATCACAGTTGCCGTTCTCGGCCTTCCTCACCTCTGTTCATCCCACTGAGCCACTCCTGAGCCGTCAGGGAGGGCTGGGCCCCTGCTGTTGGCGGGTAGATGTCTTCTTGGTAGGATTCCGACTGCAGGAGAGTGCAGACAGTGAGGGGACAGTGGCAGGGTAGGCTGCCCGGACGGAGACAGAGCTGAGAGTCCAGGCTCTCCTCAACCCTGCTGAACTGAGGAAACCCATGCCCAGAGGGCAAAGGGACTTTTGAAAGGTCACACACAGCTCAAAAGTGGAGGTAAGCAAGGCCCAGGATGCCTGGGCCCATGGTGATGACCATGAAAAGGATCTTCCCCTGAAAGGGTGCTCCTCAGCCTCCCTGTGGCTGGGTACAGTGGGACCCTGACAGCTCTAAAATGAGTTCTTTGTCTCCCACCCAGATGGGCCCACTATCCTTACCCGCCGGGGCACAATCATGGATATGGGCTCGATGAGGCTTTTGGTTGTGATCAGCTTGTAGAAGCGGAATATCTCGCAGGAGGACACGTCGAGACCTCTCTTTGGCATGACACCTGCAGACAGACGGCCACAGGGGGTCAAGAGGTTCTGGTTGGGCTGGGCCCACAAGGACCTGGCATATGGGGCAAAGCCAGGGTGTTCCCCAGGAGACTGTCCACCACCTTCCCTCAGCAAACAGCTTATAACCAAATACCTAGGCAGGGCCGGGCCCTGTGCTTTGGGAATGGACTTCATCATTGGGCTGTCTCTACCTTTAAGCATTTCAATTATTTTAACTAGATTCTTACAGGCAGTTTGCTCTACCTCTATCCCACAGCCCTGGGACCCAAATGCTCATAATAGGGATATTCCAGCTGTCTATATTCTTTTTTTTTTTTCTTTTGAAGTTGGGGATGGAACCCAGGTCCTCATACTTGCTAGGGAAGCACTCTGCCACTAAGCTACACCTCCAAGGTGTATCTTCCTTGAGCCTTTTACTTTTGACCTCCCTATATCTATAAAGTGATCTTTTTTTTTACAAATGATATTTAATTGGATTTTTTATTTTCTTTTTTTTTTTTGGTACCGGGGATCGAACTCCGGTCTTTGTGCTTGTGCAGCAGGCAGCGAAACCACTGAGCTAAATCCCCGGCCCTCATTTTTAATTTTTTCAATACTTGTACTGGATACTGAACCCAGGGCTCACACATGCTAGGCAAGCACCCTACCCCTGAGCTATACCCTCAGCCCTCATTGGATCTTCTTCTTCTTCTTCTTTTTTTTGTACCTGGGATTGAACTTGGGACCTTGCTCTTGCAAGGCAGGCGGCAGCACCACTGAGCTAAATCCCCAGCCCTCTTATTTTTATTTATTTATTTACTTATTTATTTTTATAGCACTAGGGATTGAATCCATGGGTGTTCTACCACTGAGCTACATCCTCAGCCCTTTTTTATTCTGAGACAGAGTCTCACTAAATAGCCCAGGCTGGCCTCAAACTTGTGATCCTCCTGCCTCAGCCTCTCAAGGAATTAGGATTAGAGGTATGCACCGTTTGCCTGGCTAGAGTTGGATCTTTTTATTATTTTATTTTTTTTACTTTTTTAGTTGGATCTTTTAAAATTTGCATACACACTTGGAAAAGAGGGAAGGATTGCTCCCTGAGTTTCTTTTAGGTCAATAGTTCTCATCTCCTTGGTATATTGTAACTGCTTGACCTCACTAGGAACACTTCCTCTCTCCTGGGCAGTGCTCTGTCAGCTTCCTCTTTCAATTCCTCAGATGGTGCTTCCTCAGGGAAGTCCTCCCTGGCTCTGGCTCACTCAGTTTTGCTGCTGTATACTTCAAGTCAGACTTGCTACGGCTTGAGGGTATCCCCAAGGCTTCAGGGGACATCGTGAGGTATTAAGAGGGTGGAACTCACTCTAACTATGAGGCTTAGAGATGGGGCCTTTGGGGAGTGATCAGGATTAGATAAGGTCATCAGGGTGGAGCCCCCAGAATTGAATCCAGTGGCTTTGTAAGAAGAGATGAGAAGAGACACCCACGTGCTTCCTGTCTTGTCTTGTGAGGCCCTGCACTGCCTTGGCAACAGTAAGGCCATCACCAAATGTGGCCCATGGACCTTGCATTTGCACAACCATGAGCCAAAACACAGCTCTTGTAACTTATCCAGTGGGCGGTCCTGTGTTAGCAACAGAAAATGGATTCCCAAGTAGCCCAGGAGCCCCACTCACCGATCCCCTTCTGCGGGTTGTAGGAGCGGAATTCTGTCAGGTAGCTCAGGTGAGGTTTGTCAGTGCTCACCTCGTAGTAGCGAATGTTCCCATCCCCCTAAGAGAGCAATCGAGACTCAGAGCTGAGCCATCAGCAGCGCTTGGGCAGGTCAAGCAGCCACCTCTGGCTTTCAGAGGGAAAAACCGGGAAACCCACGTCTCACCTGGGAACACCAGAGACCTCAGGGCCTGTTGCCAAGACATGGACAAGGAGGTCTTCATTTAATGCTCAGTGCCCCCAACTCTGATGCAAAATCCACCCTCAGTCCTCTAAGACAGAGGCTTTGGGAAAACAGGCCCCAACTCTAATCCCATCCAAGAGCCACATGGAGGTCAGAATCTTAGCCCTGAGGAACATTTCTGGTTGTCATAATGACTAGAAGACAGGGAGGGTATGTTGCTGGCATTGGCAGGTAGAGGCCAGAAATGCTAATATGGGAGAGCCACACCCAGTGAAGACCTGCTCTGCCCAGGTTCTGAGTGTCCCTGTTGGGAAAGGCCATCTGGTCCCAGAGCTGGAAGGACAGGCGTGTGTCGACCAGCTAAAGCCCTGGCCCGAGTCTTCCTAGGGAGCTGGGAGGGTGAGGAGGGGTGCTCCCCCAGGGGAAGAGGGGCCAGCCACTATTATCTGGCCCCAGCCTGCACCCCAAGGGCCCCAGGCTGCTGGGCTCAGCTTGGGAAATTTCTGCTCCTGCGCCAGGGACCCAGTCTGCCTCCTCCCTCCCCAGCCAGCCAGGCTGACCTTTCCAACCACATAGAGCATGTTGGTGTCCGAGTCGTAGAAGGGAAACAACACGCCTGAGGAGCCATCCAGGTCCTCCTCTGTGAGGGGCACGGAGAGATCATCCTGCAGGGAAGGGAGAGCAGGACAGCTGCTGAGTCTATCCTGAGGTCAGAACTGCTGCTGCGAGGCTTGGGGTGTGTGTAGGGCAGAGAGAGAGTCTGATCTCCTGCATAAACGCTTTGGGGAAGAGGGCCCCGGCTCTTGAGGCCCAGTCTGTGGGCTGCTGTCTCACAAGGAAGACATTTTAAAGGCACGAAAACTGCTACCATCTATTTTGTCAGCATTTTGACTGTAAGTCACTTTTTTTTTTTTTTCCAGTACCAAGGATCGAACTCAGGACCTTGTGCTTGTGGGGCAGGTGTGGTGGCACTGAGCTAAATCCCGGGCCCTGACCGTAAGTCATTTTTGACACACCTGATCTGACTCTGCTCCTCCCACCACCTCTATTTGTTCCCCATTATTTTGTTTTGATTTTTGGAGACAACATCTCATTATGTACCCCAGGCTGGCCTGAAACTTGCCATCTTCCTGCCTCAGCCTCCCAAGTGCTGGGATTACATGCATGTGCTACCCTGCCTGTCATCCATCTGTTTTACTAGATGCAGGAGACTCCGTGCAGGGAAGCGATCTATGCAGTGTCTGAAATGCCTGGCTAGTGCTCCTCCAAACCAGCCTGCTTGGCCAGCCTACCTCTCCTGTCAGTGGATGCCCATTCTCGCTGCTCCCAGGCTATGCTTTAACTGCTCCTGAGGCTGCCCTTTCACCACCATCTCCTTCCTCCCAAGACAAGATGCACCAGGCCCTGGGCTCACCTAAGGGGCTGCTGGCACCTCCCTGTTCTACAACCAGGTCCTCAGCCCCAGCAGACTCCATGATGCACTGTGAGAACTGAACGAGTGATCACACGAAGAAATGAGTAAAGCCGTGCCAGGCTGTGGGGTGAGGGCAGGGGCGGGGGTGCCCTTAGACCCACCTGGTCCCACAGGGCCATCTGGCGGTTGTTCCAGCGTGACGTGCCTGTGGACAGCAGCTTCCTCAGGTTCCCGAGGAACAGTACCTTGCTTGCTCGGTGCCCCTTGTAGCTGGCTTCCTGGAGGGACATGTGCAGTTAGCATTGGACAGATGCCAGGAGGGGACTTGGGGTGCAGCTTGGAGGTTCTGACCTCCCTTTCTCAGCCTGGCTATGGGAGAGCCCATCAGGAGCACCACCTCCAGGAAGCCTGCCTGACTCCCATATCACGGAGCTCTCTTGCTCTTTGCTGAGAGTCATATCTCCAAGCTAGGATACAGGTGCAGCTCTGCCCAGTTCCACACTTCTGCTTTGAGAGCTACTCTAAGGAGGGACAGGGCTGGGTACACACTGTCACTTCACTGTCCTATTTAGACCTTTGACAGGAAAGACTAATGGTCATTGCTGCTGATGAGCAGATGGAGGCTCAGAGAACTGAAAGTACTTGTCCAAGGTCATACAGTAGACAAACAGTGCTGCCTCTGTCTCCTGACCCCTGGGGCCAGTGACAGGGCACACAGACCAGTTTCGGAGCTGAACCAGCTTCAAACCCCAGCTCTCAATGTGAGGAAGTCCCTTCCTCTCTTTGGCCTCAGTTTTCCCATCTGAGAAATGGACCTGGCACATCTTATTTCCCAGTGGTGTTAAGAGGGCAGCCAAAGATGTCACCTACGAGAGCTTGACCCAGAAGCCACCAGCACACTGTCCAGTTCTCAGAGCTGCCCCAGCCCTATGTGGCCCCCTGCTTCTCAGCCCCTTCAACAGATTCTGGCCCAGCACTGACCTGCAGGACAGTCCCGAGCCGGGGATCGAGAACCCGAATCTTTCGGTCTTTACAGGTGGTGGCCAGCAGGCTGCCGTTGGTGTTGAAAGACATGGACAAGATCACATCTTGGTGACAGGTGATGGTTCTCATGGGGCTCACAATGACAGACTCCTTTGTATCCAGGTTCCAGATCATCACCTGCAGGCAGAGTGCCTGCTCTGAGCGAGGCAGTGGCCACCCCGCCCCAGTCCTACAGTGACACGCCAGCCGGCTGCAGTGAAACACAGTATCCCCAGGAGGGAAATGCAGCTGGAAGACTGGCCGAGGAGCCTCGGTGGGAGGACAGATATGCTGCTGAAGCTGCATGAGGCAGAGTGGGGAGCCGGGGGCCAGGCTGTCTGGTAGTTAGAGGAAAACACCATCTGCCTTTGAGCAACAAAACATCTATGCTGGGAAGACCCCAGGGAACCAGCAAATGGAGGGGAGGAGATGTGTTCTAACAGTAGCAGCATTTTCCACTTCACATGGATAACCAAGGTGGTTATGTTTAGTTGCACAGGCTGCACACAGCGCAGCTCCTGGGCAATTTAAACCTATAGCCTAAGAAGTGAATAGCGCCCCCTGGAGCTGTGTACAAACTAACCTGCACAACTATGCACTTTAGTCCTGCACACATAGCCTACATAGGTGAGAATGCTTCTGATTGGAAGGCAGTAGAAAGCTTAGAGCCCTCTAACAGCTCCCACCCCACCTTTTAATCCATCGCAGAGGCCCCAAGGTAAAGCTGAAAAACTGGTGTGGTCCTACCACGTCTTCCTATAGAATGGGAAACAGAGGCCCAGAGGAGGCATGGAGACATTCCCAGGTCACACTGCCAGTCAGAGACCAGGATGAAAGAGCATCCAGGCCCCAACCCTCAGGGTGCACAGCCTGCCACCAGGCAGTCAGTCAGCACAGCAGGGAAGTCTAAGGGCCAGCCCTCCCCTCCAGGCAGACTGCAATGGGGTGAATCATGCTCCCCAAAATGCAGGTCCACTCAGAACCTCAGATGTGACTTTATTTGGAAATGGTGTCTTTGCAGATGTAGTTAATTGAGGTCACAAAAATTAGGATGTCCTTGTAAGAAGAAGAGTGGACACACAGGGTCATGGCCACGTGAAAACAGAGGCAGAGCCTGGGGTAATGTGGCTGCCAGCCAAGGGCCAGGCATGGTGGCTCTCCCCAGGGCTTCTGCATGGCTGCCTAGCACCTTGACTTCAGATTTCCAATCTCTGGCACGGGGAAGAGGACACTTCTGTTGTTGAAAGCCACCCACATGCGGTGACTTTGCTGGGGAAGCCTCAGACCCACCTTGTAATCATAGCCAGAGCTGAAGAGGATGTTGGCGGCCGTGGGGTGCCACTCCACCAGGCCCACTCTGCGCGCATGGCCCACCAGCTCCTTCCTATAGGCTGTGAGGTTCCTCGCCAAAAGCTGCTTGGGGATGTCCCAGATTTTGATCTGCAGGAGACACATGGCCCGGGTGGGGGGGTTACCAGGGCACCTCATTTTGCCTACTCTCTCCACAGTCCCCTCTCACTCAATGGAGGGGCAGACAGAGGGACAGGAGCTTTACCAAGGTCCCTGGCTGAAGCAGTGGCTGGCCTTGACCGGAGGTGAGCCTATGCTTCTAAATCTTCCTGGAATGGAGCTTCACCAACTTTTTATTTTATTTTTTGAGACTGGATCTCACTAAGTTACCCAGGCTGGCCTCAAACTCATTGTTCTCCTGCCTCAGCCTCCTGTGCCCAGCTGTCTGCCATCCTGATAGCCTGAGGTGGTGGCCAGATGGGTGGGCTGTTGGCTTATCTTTCAGGCTGGAAGCCAGGCCACATATGCCGCTGTGCCTAGGGTACCCCTCTAAATACAGGGGTCTTCCTTTTCCTTGTCCTAAGATCTCACAGTGGAGCCTCAAATACCTGGAAGACGGATTTGTGCTGCATCCTCAGGCACTAAGGAGCTAGTGCAAACTCTGGTGCAGAGACAAACTTGTTGATTTGAGGAGGTACTGTTGATAGCCTGGAAGGGGAGAGACTGAAAACCAGAAGCCTTGGCTGGCTGGAGTCAAAGGCCAGGCACGTCGCAGTGAGGGATAGGGAGGGGCTGAGGCTTCCTTCAGAAAAATGTTGTCTGAGATGGAAGAGGGGCTGCCATGCAAAGAACAAGCTCCTCATCATGGGAGAATGCAAACAGAGGCAGGGGTAGTGCTGCAGAGAGAGGTGGAGCCTTGGATGGTGCTGTCTCAATGTTCTTATTGCCCAGCAAGGTCCCCAGGCCCCTCCATGGCTGAATGTACCACCTTCTTTGGAGATACAGTAAAACCTTGGATTGCAAGTAACTTGTTCTGTGACTGTTCCAAAGACAGGCAAACATTTCTAATAAAATTTAACTTGATAGCAGGGGATTTAGCTCAGCGGTTCAGCCGCCTGCCCCACAAGTGCAAAGACCTGAGTTCGATCCCCGATACCAAAAACAAAAACATAAACAGCTAACTTGATAAACCAGTGATGTCTTGCAAAATGAGTAGTATGTGACACTGAAAGTCACACAATCACACCTGGGGGAATGGTCTGTCTCTCTTTCTCTCTCTTTTTGCGGGATTGTGGGTGACTGTTTCCCAACAACAAGAGGTTATGGAGGGGATTGGATCTGCATATGAAGGAGAAAAAGGCAGAGGAATCCCTCACTTCAAATAAGATTAGAGAGATGTGTAAAATGTGGGAAACTGCAAAATTTCATAGAAAAGTACCACCCAAATAAAGCTGCAGCAGTTAGAGCGGTGAATCAGTTTAATGACAACACAATGTTACATTTCCATGAAATCCTCAGAAGGAGGCAAAAGCAAGTGTCATTGGATAGGTTCCTTGTTAAAGGTGCACAAAAAGAAAAAGATTCCATTGAGTCAATAGATAGCAGTGATTCCATTAGTGATAGTGAAAGTCATTCTATACAATAACCCTCCTCTCTTTGTCTCCCTCACCTCAGCCACAAAAGTTTTCAAAGGTAAAGTGCAGGTGAATTTATTTTTTTTTATATTTTATATTTTATTTATTATTTTGTACCCTAGTACAGGTTATCATCATTTTATATGAATATTGTTGGGTTGTGGAATGAATCATCTGGGTTTCCATTATTTCTAATGGGGAAATTCGCTTTGATATACAAGTGCTTTGGATTATAAGCATGTTTCTGGAAATCGAATTATGCTTACAAACCAAGGTTTTCATGTTCACAGGTTTTTCAAGCAAACAACTGTGCTTCCGGTTCTAGGACATGAACTCTGTCTGGAGTAGTGCAGGCTTCAGACAGTGTGGTCCGCGAGAGTTGTCCCTGCACAGAGCTGGCCTGGGCAGTGCAGGCTCTGGGCAGGTTTGTTTGGAGATACAGGCACACCCCAAAAAGGAAGCACAGCCCCCCGCACTCCCCAGGGCTAAGGCTCATCCTGCCCCAGGTCCCAGATGAATTTACAAAAGGAATCTGCTGCCACTTCAATCTCAATCATCGTGTTCAAGGACCCTGCTCCTGAGCATCTGGGAAGGGACAGTGGCAGGACATAAGTCTTTATAACAAAGAGCTTTCAAGAGCCTCAAAGCAGGCCCAAAAGGGCGAGTACTATAGGAGGGAGGCTGGTGGCAGATGTGTGACATCCTGCCAGAAGCCTCCATGCATTGAGACAGAACCTGTTTCCATAAGGCCTGATTTGATTGCCCCTTTGGTGAAATTGTCCTTGATGTTTCTCAGCAATTTTCTACATGGACACTGACACAGATCCTCTTAGAATTTCTGGCTTCCTGAGCTGCATGTCTGTAATTCTAGCACTCAGGAGGCTGGGGGAGGAGGATCATGAGTTTGAGGGCAGCCTGGGCTGCATAGTAAGGCCCTGTCTCAACAAAACAAAACAAACTTTCTGCTTCCTTTCCTGATAAATGGTGAGGGTTCAGCAGTAAGATTCTAATTCCCTTTTTGCTTCAGCTACCAGGCAACTCTGAGCTCAACTAGGAACTCAGCTGCTGCCACCCAGTACAGCTGAAGTTTCTAGGATTTCCTCATTTTCTCCATCTGTGGCTCAGGCCATTGCTTTGGAGGGAAGTGGCAGAGGTCAACAGAGAAAGAATGGGCTCTGGAGTCAGCTGGGCCCTAGTCTGAAGCCAGTGCTGCCTTCTACAAACTGTGTAACTTGGCCAAGTTCCTGCACTTCTCTGATCTTTGGCTTCTCCATCAGAAAAATATCCTACCTTGTGGAGTTGCTGGAAAGACTGAAAAGATAAGTTCAGTGAGAGTCAGGAATACAATGGGACCATGGGAATGGTCCCTACAACCTTTGTCCTTATTTTAACTAGCTGGTCACCTCTATGTGTTTGGGGTTTTTTCTTTTTTAAAAATTAATTTTATTGGTACATTTAAGGTATACAATATAATGACATTCATCATTGGAAATTTGCACCTTTACATAATCCATTTATGTGTTTGGTTTTAAGCCACAACCACTATATTTTTTAGAAGTAGAACAGATGAGTTATACAGAATGAATTACAAGTAAGTAATACTGAACATTGTGGGGACAGGGACTCTGTCCCTCGTATGGAATAGGAGCTCAAAAAAGTTGATGAAAGTTAGGTGTTCCAAGGTACACCTGTAGTTCCAGTTAGTTTGGAGGCTGAGGCAGGAGGATTGCTTGAGTCCAGTCTGGGCAACATAGCAAATCTCTATCCTAAAAAAAGTTGGTAGGACTGACCTTTTGGGATAGTTTTGGGGTCCATAATCATGTAAAGCTCCCATTCTCATCTTTTCATGGCTCACTTCCCCACTGTCTGTGAGATTTAGTAGATTCTGACCACAATAAAGATGCCCCTCACAGCATTTTACAGTTTCCTCAGAGGTTGGGCTCTCCCACTGAAACACAAAATATCTCACTGGATCTTCATTAGATGGGCTGGAGCTATAGTGCCCATTTTATAGGCGGGGAAAACTGAGGCTCAGAAAGAGGAGGGGCTGCCCCCCAAGTCCCAAGCACCTCAAACTTCCCCTCAGACTCTCTTCTGCTCCTTACACAGTAACCTCACTTCAGTGTTGAAGCAGTTGGGGCCACCCCAAGGGGAATACAGACACTGACCCCCGCCCGCTCCACCTCACACCCTCTAGGCCGTAGAAGCATGCCCCAGCTGACACTCACCGTGGCATCTTCAGAGCAGGAGGCAATCTCGAAGTCATTAAAAGGGTTCCACTTGATGTCTAGGATGTTCCCTCTGTGCCCGCAGACCTTGGGGTAGTGGGGGTCCAACTTTCCTGTCTGCAAAACAGTACCCAGAGAGTTGGAGAGAAGACTAATGTGACTTTAACATCTGGATGGCCACTCAGTCAGCCAGCAGTCACTGAGGAACCAGGAAAAACTAAGGGACAGAACAGGGTGTGAATCTAGGAACCATTTCCCATGTGATCCTGGGGTGGAGGGGCTTGATGCTCTCCTTGGGAAAGTGGAGGAAATAAGAGGTCTTTCACAGGTTGGTGTGAAGATCACAGAAGCTGAGGAGGGAATGTACCGAGGTGCAGCCCTCAGAAAACAGCCTGCCAGGGGGATTTAGCTCAGTGGTTCCGCTGCCTGCCTCGCAAGCTCAAGGTCCCGAGTTCGATCCCTGGTACCAAAACAAAAAACAAAAAACAAAACCTTGATTCGTGTGCATTGGGCCGGGATTTAGCTCAGTGGTTTCACCCCCTGCTGCACAAGCACAAGGACCCAAGTTCAATACCCAGTACCAAAAAAAAAA